CAAATAAAATTACATAATGCTTAATTAAAGAAGTCTTTCAATGTTGTTTGCTTTTTTTTGGTCTTCCAAAGCATAGACCTCACTTTATCTTCAAGACGCGAAGCATCCTCTGACGCAGTTGGCTCTTCTTCATGGTGAGCAAAGAATTTGCGGAGCACCTTAGCAGCCTCCAGGGCTTGTAGAGGGGTTGGGACTGGTTAAGTTGAAAATAAACACCCGCTCATTATTTTAAAATTGACATGTAAACAAACACAATTGTTCTGAAAACATCGTTATAGAGAGAGCGATATCGTTATACAGAGAGTAAATTACATTGTTCTTATGTTAGACCAAACATCGGTGTTAAAGTACATCGTTATAGGGGAATTATCGTTATAGGGAGAATCGTTATAGAGAGAGACTACTGTAGTTTGAAATAAAATGAAACCGTTATTGAAAATTAATAAAAATAAAACACAAATATTAGTATGTAAAGGATACAAAAATAGGGCTAAAGTTATATAATAGAAGATTGTAAACTAGAAGATTTTCGATTAATATTTAGGGAGTCAGATAATTTAAGATGGAAAAAGCGATGGAGATATAAAAAAAATCACTTTTGTACTTGAGATCGATTGGTTTGGAAATTCGACAAAGATTACTAAATGTGTATGTTTGGGTACGGCTCTGTATGGATGTGAAAAAGGAATAGTTCGCTTTGAAAACTGAGTAAGTATTAGAAAGACTAGAACAGATGCTGGCGTTAATAAATTAGGCGAGATAGGGTTGAAAGGACACTTTTCAGATACGAAGGAGTAGCTATGCTAGGAGGATGATAAGATATCGCGGTTAGAAAAAGTTAAAAATGAGTAGATATTAGAAAAAGTAGAAGAACAGATGCTGGCGTTAACGAAATAGGCGAGATAGCTTGGTAGGACTCTTCTCAGGAATGAAGGGCTAATTAGGCTAAGAGGGTGTTAAAAATACAATGTTTAGAAAAGGTTAAAAATTAGTAGGTATTTAAAACAGTAGGAGAACATATGGTGTTAACAGGATAGGCGAGATAGGACACCTTCTCAGACATGAAAGGCTAGCTAGGCATATTAAAAGAGACACAGGAAGAATAGAGATAGTCCTAGACTAGATTACTGCTCACCAATACTTAAAGGTGCAAGTTGCTCGAATTTTTGAGAAATGTGACATTGGCTCAAGGTAAAATGAAATGGAGGTGCATGTCTAACCACTCATCAGACTGAAGATTATGAACCCATTTTCTATGTACATACATACTATCAGACAAAAGTAAAGCAACTCTAAAAAAATGATCGCGTAGGTATCTTTGAGATTTTTTTAAATATTCAACCAAATGTATTTTCCCTTATTTTGGTATGAACATAAATGTAAATAAAACAAAAATATTGGTATACAAAGGAGATAAACGTGACGTTGAGCTAAGGAGACAAAAAATTAGAACAAGTCCCTGATTGTTGATATCTAGAAAGTCGAGTAACTCAGAATGGAAGGAAGAAGTACAAACTTAAAGTAAAAAAACGCGCAGGATTGAGTTGCTGTTAACAAAAAGAAATTACTTAATTTAGAAATTCGAAAGAGATTGTTCAAGGAGTACTTTTTAGTACGGGCGCGACGGAAAAGAAAAGATTAGAAACGTTTAAGATATGGATAGGAAAGGTTATGCTGAGGAGGTATTGGAAAAAATAGAAGAAAGGGCTTTATTGAAATCAATATAAGGAAAAAGAGAGAGAGGATGGTAGAACCTTTCTGATACATGAAAACTTATTTAGCATTATACTAGAACAGAAATAGAGACCCAATTGGATGATCGTTCCCAAAAAGTTATGGATGTGGGACGTTTAGTTTTAGGGAAATGCGAAAATTTCTCAGGATAGGAAAGAGTGGAAACGCGTATCCAACCAGTCTTTGGACTGATCACGATACTAATATACATATGTAAATAGGCACCTTCTTACATACAATTTTTCAGATCGGTGATAAAGAGATGTCTGATCAAAAATCGCCGGATGAACAAACTCCTTCAGGCTGCACAGCTGCTGAATTCACATCATGCATCTCTAGCAGAATTTGGAATTTGTCGCGGTATACTCACGAGAAAAACGAAAAAACTACTTTCCTCTGTCCCGGAGAGACACAACGAAACTTCCTGCACGATCCAGGTACGTATGTGGCAAAAATTTTAATTTTTCTTTATGGAATGCCAATTTCTTTTTTAGGCGAAACCATTTCAAGATTACCATCAGCGGTGGCACCTGCAGTAAACTACACCATAGCCACGTGTACATCAAATACGACATCTATATTAAACGCCGACGCCAATAACAAATTATTCTATTAATATACATATTCGATAGTACTAAAATAAATATGTTTATAGTTTAATAGAGAAAAAAAAATAGAAATTGGCTGACTAATCAAACCCCCGCTTCTCGATTTAGTCAAATTATTTTTTACATGCCCAATTAAGTGCAACCCAAACTAGGTGTTCACTCGCATGTTAATGCCTGTTGTGTGTACTCAGTAAAATTTTGTCTAATTCATGAAATAAGCAACGAATTTACCTATTTTATGAAAAACGCATTTATTTCACGCATATTTGCCTATTTCAAGAAAATGGATTGTTATCGTAGTTAGCTCATTCTTTTGTTTACAGGAACGCGGACCTTAAAAAGCATCCTAGCAATTACATCGTTTCTAGCGTTGACCAAAACCTACTGACTCTTTACAAACAGCTAATTTAAAACCTAACTGTTTAATTTGCATGATTCTCTATTTCAGATATTCGGGAAAATTGCATTTCCTAGTATACATATACATTAAGGTAGGATTTTGCTTAGCACATGAAATCAGTAAGTTCACTGCCTATTTCATGAACTAGACAAAATTCTACATAAGCAGGAGCGTCATTACGTGTATGGCAGAATCCAGAGCTCAGTACGTCATTAAAATTAATTTTAATTTTATAAACGGTCGATAGCGTGAACTGTAGCTCTTAACAACCCTGTACTCTAGAATTGTATTTTAAAAGATAAGAAACACAGGAGAACATAAACAATATACTCAATGGCTTGCTTTCCTTTTTTTCTTTGATTATAATCCAAGGACGTAGCTAATAATGATGTGTCCGGGTGGTCCAATTCCCATGCATTCAAAGTTCTATCCTATATGCTGGGCAACTTGAACTTACCCTATATAACGTAAAATTTAAAATCGCAACTTTTTAAGTTTACATAATCCAACACACTTTGTTTAATTGATTTTATTTATTAATGCAAATATGTAAAAACATTGCTTTACTCAACTCCACAGTATTTGTTATTTCTTTCCTGTTTAAGATGATTGAAAAATTACTTAAACACCAAAAAAAACCTAGTAAAAAATAGCAAATACAAGAGGAGTAATGCCAGAATTACTACTGGTTATATGAAATTTAAAATGAAGAACGATCTCACCCTTGGCCCAAACAAAACAAAAAGCTTGCTACGTCCCTGTTATACTCTGGCCAGGGTTCGGAAAAGAAACGTAACGACGCCCCTGCTAATAAGTAAATTAAATAAACAAATGAGCTCATTTCAACCCCTTCCAGTTGTTGTCGTTAATTTTCAACTTACATATGCACATTTACAGATATGTGAAGTGGTAGGAAATTAGTCAAGAAGTTTTGAATGATGCAAACTTCAGCGAAAAATAGAAATCAAAAAGCAAGTAGAGTAATTTGATTAATTCTTAAAAGGTTCGTAGTTCAAACAAATGTAACGCAATATATATATATAGTAAAGTAACTATCATTACTGTGGATTTAATACATTAGTAGATAAACATTGTAAAATGGTGTAATTAAATAATGAAAAAAGTTAATTGAAGTTTTCACAACGTTAGTTATATACAATAGTTGAAATTAACTTGATGTAAAATGGAATGTTTTATAGCAAAAAATGAGTATGCTTTCGCGATGGTACTTGCTCAATAAATAATATATACATATATATATATATATAGCAGTGGTATATACATAAAAATGCTTCAATTTTACTTACTTACGTATGTGTGTAGGTAATGGTTTGAAATATGTATATTCTTGGACATAAAGTACTATCTATACATATATAATATATATAAAAAGTGTAAATATATTTAATATAAAATAAAGGTGCTATATAATACACGAGGAATTTCTCATTTTTATATCCCACAGCTAACAATAACATGTAGACTACCCAAACTACATGATTGTTAACAACAAACAAACTGTTAACATAATTTTTAAAGTTCAACTATTAAATTAAAAGCATTAACGATTGTTATTGACATTCACAATCAGCCTATGCATTTAGTTTATAATGCGTGTGTACAAATCGCTTATCACGTTCATATCAAAAGCTCATTAGAGGTAAACATGGTATCCATATTTCAATAGCACCATTATGATACTTAAATATCAACATGGTATACGTATAAGATAAGGAATGCCAATTTAAAAATAATTTATGTATTATATCCTACTTTTCTTACGTACAGTGTCGTAGAAATATATTGGACAACTGAAAATGAATAAAGGCCTTAAAACATTGAACACGAATACAGAATTCAAAAGGTAACATTTACGAAAAACATCAAGTATTTCCTCCTATTTTCTTGTCTTATCTTTCGCTAAATTCATTTACAATCAGAAGCGGCGTCTAAAGCGTTTTTCTTCGCAAAAATTACCTAGATATTGATTTATTCATGCTACAGCTTTAGAATTTCGTACTAAACATTATAAAAAAAATGTTTTATTTCCGATTTTTCTTCGCAAAATAGAAAAGGGATTAAAACATGTTTCTATAGGTACAATCAGTAAATATATTTTTTTTGTATAATTTATTTTCCAATTCTTTTATAATTCCCTTACTAGATAGACGACGGTACAACTGTGGATCGGTTAAAAATTGACGGAAACCGCCGATCGTCTGCTTTAATTGATCGGGTATCGATTTCTATGTTAATACATCTCGATCCCGGTTCTGCTGATCAAGTTTTGCCCGGAGCCCAACCCTGGAAAAATTTCACGAAATGAAAGAGGGTAGACAGAACACGACAAAGCACGAAAATAGCCGATATTAAGACCCTGATGGCCTGATGGTAACTAATTCAGCTTTAAGTTGTGTTGAGCTTCTGTGTTTGTTTATTGTGGTCCAAAAGAGGTGCTAGGTAAATTATCTATCTAAAAATGCGAGAAAATCGGAGGAATTTCAAACCATGAAATAGACAGTTGAGTTAATAAAATGCCGCTGAGAATTTTAAAAAATGGAATTAGTGTGAATTTGGTCTGTTTAATTAAGATAGTACACCTAACCTGCCTAAAATGAAGTGCAAACAAAAAACTCTGGTGTTTTGTATATTTTTCTATACCTTGTGTTCCTGTGAAAATGTATATAATCAGACAACGAACAATAAGGATAATGTGGCCAACATAAAGGGGTTTTACTTGAAAAATATTGCCAGTGAACTTGGGAATGAACTTCAAAGAATAACAAGCGAGGAGCTTTTTGTGTCCAATATTCAGGTAATAAAATATTTTTCGCCAATTAATAGAATATTTTCACGATTTTCGATCGTTGTACAGGTGCTATACAAGGAATTTAAGTATGTTAATGTCTATCAGGATATTGAGAACATAGTGCAAATTACAGCAAACAAAATCAATGAAAAGCTCAATGAGTCTTTTCACATATTAAATGAAACCAAAGCTTTTATTGAGAGCTATGACAAAAATTACAGTAGTTTTTTAGAATCTTATGTTGTACCATGTAACAATAAAGAAGACAATCCAGAAACTTCATTACAAAAATGTATGTATTATACCTGCATGTATCTATTAATCAAATATTCAAAATAGCAAAGTATCTATATGTTATGATTTCCTATTTTCAGTTCTTCATGAGCAAAGAGAGAATGTTAGAAAACATAAAGAAAGCCTGAAACAAATTTATTTTCTGTCCACTCATGAAATTGGAAAGCATACTAAAGCAACAATATTCAATTGTAAGAAACATGATCAGTCTACTTTATGGAAGCTATATATGGAGAGGGTAAAAACAAAACCCAAAAATGTAATGCTATTAGTTGATCATGGAGCTACTCTTAACAATCACCATTTAGATATTATTAAAGCAATGGGTATGAATATAATCAGCACATTTGTAACAATTTTATTAAAAAAATTTTTTTAGCCAAACAAATGGTCTCAGTTTTGGACAGTAATCACAAAATAGGCGTAATTAGTATTTCTGATGACTGGGGGGCCCCATACCTTACAGATCAGTGCTTAATGCCAAATCAAATACCACCCTTCAGTGATTTTCAACATATTATGTCACCCGCCACAGATAACAACAAATATTTAATTAACAAATTCATAGATTCCCTCAGGAAAGGAAATGGTAAGTTTTACAATTTAATTCTATAATATTTTAAAAGACAGGGAAGTTTTTGGCCCAAAGATTGAAAAAAAATAGAGCCCTAAATATTATCTACACATAGATATACTTATACTTTCATAAAATTTCATCATACATAAGTATGTGTAACGAAATTATTTGTGTGGTGAGGTATGATAATGTAAATTGATTGAAAGTTAAATATTGCTCTAAATTGAAATCGTCGTATATAACAATTTTTAGTTGCATGACGGCTTGTATGTTTGTCCATCACCTAGACAAAACGGTCGAAAGTTACACTTTCTTGTTAAAGAAAAACCTCAAAAGATGCGTGAAATGCGGTAAAGGCAATCAATATAAATGTTTAAAAGCAAAATTTTATCCGACTTTACCAAGCGATTTAAAAGACATTTACGAACTACAAAAAGCCGTTTTTGCCTTGCAAACATAACGGTTACTGCAATCACCTCTCATATTATATTCTGGACCGTTACAAGGCAAAATTAAAATATCGAATTATGTCGTAGGCATAATTTCGATAACCATCCAGAATACTATCGTTTAATCAGCAATTTTGATATATTAGAGGTGGGAGAAAACAATTGGAAAAATTATACGGGTCTAAATATCCACATTCGGGTGTACAGTTGGTTGCAGATATTCTAATGTTATACATTTACTAAGATATAAGTACATTTTAAAAATTATTGAAAAATGTTAACGGTTAAATGCTACTCACCGAGGGCTTAGGTTAGATTAGTTTAGATTATCTTACGAATAGGAATTTCGACATCCAGGGTGTTATCGTTTAATCGGAACTTTAATTAAAAATTACCAATTTTGGAAATGATAGAAAACACGACCGATCCTACAAAGATTCCGTTTTTCATTCGGACGTACGGAACCCTAACTCGAGAACCAATTTAACATTGTAGTGATCTATAAGTAAAAAACTATTTTCTCTATTTTTTTCAAAATTTTAGGTTCAGCAGTTTCGGAAATAAAGGAGGGGGATTGGTCAGTTTTTATCTATTTCCTTAAATAACTCTTTAAAACTAATTATTTTAAAATTATAAAAAAAATATATGTTTGAGACCCTCACAAAAAGTCCTTTCATTTGATATGTCAGACGATACAATTTTGAAAACTTTTGTTTTTTAATTTTCTATTGACCTCCCAAAAATGACTCCCATATTCAAAATTAATTTATTTACTTTATGCGTCCGTCTTTTGATCACAGAAATTCATATGTGTACTAAATTTCAATTTAATCGGTAGATTCGGAGTAAATTTACTGTGACAGACCGACACACAGACACACGAGTGACCTTATAAAATAAAATGGGAGGCTCTGAATATCTACATTCGACTGTGTGTTTGGTTGCATATATTCTAATGTCATTAATGTTTAACAACCACTAACCAATACCTTATAAAAATTTTTGAAAATGTTAAAATTTAAGCGCTACTCACTAAGGGCTTAGGTTAGGTTATGTTATGGTGTGAATAAAAATTTCGACAACCAGGATGTTATCGTTTAATCAGAATATTTTAATTGAAAATTACGAAGTTTGATGAATTAGAGATAACAGAAAACAATTGGAAAAAAGTGGGTGGACCTAAATATCAAAACTCGAATGTATAGTTGATTGCATATATTCTAATGGCGTGCATAGATGAAAGTGTACATCATAGCATTATTGAAAAATGTTAAGGGTTAAATACTACTCACTAATAAGGGTTTAAGTTAGGTTACAGTGGGAACGGTTTTAAACCGTTCAAATCTAAACGGGTTACAGCTAGTTATAATATTTGCATACTTTGTTATGTATTAGGACTCGCAAGCAACCCAATAGTTCCGTGTTGTATAATTTATCGTTAAGGTAAGCTGTGTAGCAACTGTAGTTTATTTTATAATTATTTATCTATAATCATATTTGCTTGTGATGACTGAAGAAACGAACAACACGACATTGTATGTGTATCAAAGTTATTATATCAAAAGAACTCAACAAAAAATCTATTATATGTAAAAAGACCAGTTGTAAGTCACACTGATAATAACTAAATATAACAAAGAAATAAAGCACTTAAAATTTCCTTTTAGCACTTTCGATATATGTAAGAAATTTAAATTGCATGTACACTTTTCTTATATTGTAATATCTAAATATAAGCCATATTGCATCTTAAGATGCAGATAAGAACCGAACATATTGATTCATTTAAATGCCTTTGAGGGGCAGGGGGATGTTACGTTTTGTTCAAAAGATTTTGAGAGTTAGGTGAACAATTTGCCTCACCTGTATTGTAAATTCATGTAATTGACAATTATTTTCCGTTTAATGAAATAAAATAAAAATATATGATTATCGAAATTTTTCCCTCGCTTGTGCTATCTGACCTTTCTTTACGGCAAATTTTAAAATCCTAAGACAACGGGAAGTATTTCGTACGTAAAGAAAACATAGTGGATTGACAGACAGACGAAAGTACAGTAGATCCTCGATAAGGTAAAGACCAAGGGAAACGTAAAATAATTTGAGCTATTGAGGTTTTTACTTACTGAGGGTTTAAGTTTAAGCTTTAAAATTATGGATTTCCAATGACTTAGCAAACTCTTCTGGTTTTTTCTTTAGCGTAAGTGTACTAACACTAATGTTTTTACACTGTCTAAGCCATGTAAACAACAAGCATTTTTCTAAATTAGGAAATTCAGCAATTCTTCGTCTTTTACATAGAAAACTCTTCCGATTCAAACCATTTTGCACTGCTTACTGAGGTGCGATGCCCAAATTATTCGATTAAGTTATAGAGGGTTTTTATTTTTAAGTAATGGAGGTTTTGGACTTCGAGGCGAAAGGAACACAAAATTTTATGAATTTATAGTGGTTATTACGTTATCGAGGTTTCAGTTATCAAGGTTTTACTGTATATTCGTTTTGACGTAAGAAGGTGAATGCCCACATTTTAGCAAATGTTGTGTATAATAAATGGGGTTCCATTTTTTTGCCACTAGACAAAAAACACCGTAATACTTTATATTTCCTTCTTTATGTATGTTTTTTATCGCAGGACCAACAAATCATTCTCTAGGATTTCAACAAGCTTTGTACACAATAAAAATGAGCAATTTAGACATCAACGAAAATGTTATGTTAGTTTATATAAGCAGGGGAATGTTATCGTCTTTGACTGAATCAAAAGCAGTTTTGGAAACGATTATGAAAAATTTGCAAGACATTAACAATAATGTTATTATAAATACATGTGCTGTAGTTGACGGTACGTATGGATATATGTGGAATAATGAACTTTCAATATTGTCGCTAACTAATACAATAAAAATACATATATTTCAGGTACAAAACCTATTATGTACGAAATGCACTTTCTTAGAGAGATAGCCGAACAAAATTACACGAAGTATAACATAGAATTTAAAGGGAGCAACCATAAGGGCGCATTTCTTACAGTAAACTCAAATCAAAGCATCGGCCTCACTGCCGCCAGATTCTACAACATTATGAACAAAATTAACGTAACTGAATTGGGAATACGAGTGTCTTACCCGACGTGGGACGAAATTTCTAAAGGTTCAATTAATAAAAATAAAATACCCAGTGTTTAGGAGATAATGTTGTTCTTTTAGATCTTGCGGTATCTATAACGACTTCTGTTGGACCCAATGGCGAATTGGGCTTATTGGGATTGGATCTCTACTTCCTAAACATAGTAGAGAACATTACGTATTATAGTAATTATCATTACTATACGTACGCGTTTTTAATTAACAAAAAAGGTAAGTGACTAATCAAACATAGCTGTATTACATATTTGTTACAATTTTGTTTCTATTTAATTGCAAGGTCATTGTTTAATGCATTCGTTATATCCGCGACCTGAAGTCTTCAAACAACAACTAAACTATGTCGACATCTCCTACATAGAGAAGACCGAAAATTTCGAGAAAGTACGGGAACTTCTGCTAAGTAAAAGTAAAGGAACACACGTTCTAAAAACTGCTAACGAAACTGTAAGTTAAAAGGAAGTAAGAATATCAAAGCTTTTCGTAACAATCGAATTTTTTTAGCTAAAATATATATGGCAACAAGTTCAAAATTTATACGTGGTCTGTATGGTAATACGCGAGCACAATCCGCCACCAGTTCGTCCGGACAAAGTAACATGGTTTTCATCATCTTCCACGAACGATCTCATATATCACAGACTCGATATATTACCTAGTGCCAACGTTTGTAAACATCTCAATCAGATAGCGACATTTGGTAAGAAAATCATCATCATAAGGTCGTCAGTCTTAAGACTGGTTGGGCACGTACCTCCACTTTTTCCTATCCTGAGCTAAACTTCGCATTTCCCTAAAACTAGAACAGCCCACATCCTTAACTATTTGCGAACAGTAATCTAATCTAGGTCTACCTCTACCCCTCCTAACTCCTGTTTCTGCCTCTAATATGTCTCTGACTAGACCTTCATGCCTGAGAAGGTGTCCTACCAACCTATCTCGCCTATTTTTTATTGACTTCCATAGAGTCCTCTGTTCTCCTATTCTTTCCAATACCTCTTCATTTCTAACCTTTTCTACCCACGATATCCTCATCATCCGCCTATAACACCACATTTCGAACGCTTCTAACCTTTTCTTTTCCGCCGCTCCCACTGTCCATGTTTCGCACCCGTACAACGCCGTGCTCCAAACATACACCTTTAACAACCTTTTTCGAATTTCTAAATTAACCGTTCGCGAGCATAGAAGTGACTTCTTTTTATTAAAGGCGACACGACCCTGCGCTATCCTCTGCTTTATATCCCTACTACTCCTTCCATCCTCACTTATCTGACTTCCTAGGTATCTAAAATCAGCCACTTCTTCTAATTTTTCGTCTCCTATCTTTATATTCGCTCTTTCCCTACTTTTTCTTCCCTGGCATACCAGTATTTTAGTTTTACTTTTATTTATTTTCATACAGTACTGTTTTGTCAATACCGCTTCCATTTTATTTAAAGCTATCTCTAAGTCCTCCTTGCTAGATGCTAATATTGCTATATGGCAAGAAAAAATATTGTAAAATATGTATTGTCGGCAATTACCAAAATCAGCCACTGACCTAAATTTTACTCAGAACGCGTTGTGTATTTCGCTATTTGATCCATCTCTTTTTGACGCGTTTGGAAGTCAGAATTTGAATTACTTTTTATGTTAGGTCTATTAGAAATGAAGCTACTCTAGTTAATGTAACCTATTTGCTATTTCACATTTCGGGAGTCATGTAGTTCTTTTCTCCATAAAGTCTCAGATTGGAACAGAACAATTGTTCTCATGTTCCAGACTTTTCGAAGAAGAGAGCAATGTGATTTTCCAAAAAGATTTTTTGTGATTTTTACAATTTTTTGTGGAGCTTCAGATAAAATTCACTCCAAAAACAGTTTTACTTACTATGGGTCGTGTTAGGGTTAACGTACGTTATACGTTTTACAATTTTTCAAGTCATTTCCTAAAATGTCTAATTAGCTATGACTACGACGACTCCAAACGCCAGTGTGAGCAGATAACATAATTTACAACGTGTTCTGGCTATAAATTTCGGTCAGCGGCTAATTTCGGATTTGCGTACAACACACATAAAGAATAAAGCTCAAATAACGTATTATTAAAACATTTAGATGCTGGAGCTCTCTACTTAAGTGCATCCACGTTCAAATCGCCGTTCGGATTTCTGCATTCTGCCGGTGCGTCAATGTCACCATTGACTGTACAAAAATATATGGCTTATTTAAAGGACAACACCCGATTACTATCCAGCCCTGGATTGAGAGAAGATATACAGGATGACGTGGTAGCATTAGCTTATATCCTAGAGCTTTTTAGAACGCAGCATATGGACGGATTAAGATACAGATACATCGTGAGAAGATACATTGCTTCGCCCAGTGGAGTTTTAGAGGTAATTGTGTAACTTAGTTTATATTATCCTATAAATTATTCTACCTTAACGGTTCAAAGTGAAGGGTCAAAAGATGAAAGTAAAAAATATAATAAGCGATAATATGATATTTATGTATGATACGAAGTGATATGATATGAAGTCGAGAAAACGTTGCTGAATCAATCATTCCCTAATTTACAAACCTACTTATCAGAGGATTTGATGCTTGTTCCAGGTCTTTCCCGGTGAACTCATTTCTCCAGGATTAGACCCCACAAAACGTGCTTGGTTTCTTCGGGCGTCCGATCATAAATACCAGACTGTTTTAATACCACCTTACCTAGATGCCGGAGGAGCTGGTTACATAGTAACTCTTGCCTATGCTACCTCACAAGTGGTGGTGGCGATGGACGTAACGCTGGGTTACATTTACAAATTAATGCTGGAACATATGCCTTTCTGTTCTATCAAAAATATCAAGTGCTTCCTGATGGATAACTACGGCTATCTCATTTATCACCCAAACTTGATAGATCCCAAAGGACACGGTCCTATTGAACAGCAGCACATCATCCATAAAGAGTCTTTTGTGGCCAACGACATACTGAATCATAAAAACTTCATGACGAAAATGTCTTGCAATAACTACGCCGACGGTACAATACAGAGATTTTACCAGTTGAATTTGAACATGAGCGACGTTCTAACGAACGTGGTCCACGGAGAACATTGTATCAAATATCAGGTAACGTCGATACCTGGAACAAACATTTTTGCCGGAATGGTAAACGCTACCTGCGAATTCATTACAACATTTTGCCCCTGCAGCATGACCGACAGGTTCTGTCTGAACTGCAACAGAATGGAGCAAAAAGAATGCGAGTGTCCCTGCGAATGCCCGTTAAATTTGGAAACGTGCACCTATCACAACAAAAGCTTTATGAACAACCCAACGTGTTCGATAGTTCCAGAGGATAACAATTTCGTTCCGTTAGAAACGGCAAATAAAGTGACTTTAAACTTGAGACCTTGCACTTTGGTGTCTTGCGAGGAACAATTAACGTACGAATCGTGCTTAGGAGTTTTAGGGTGCGAGTGGTGCCGTACGGATGTTGATGGAGAAAGTCCTCTAGTAAATCCTTTCTGTACGTCCCATACGACCTGTTTCAACGGTATATTTGGTTTGGCTACACCATACGGACATGCTGGTGATAGTGAAGTGTCTCCAAATAATATTTTGCCGTCGACATTTTCCCCCGTAGTTCCAATTATAGGATCTATCGTAGGTCTTGTTCTGATACTTGCCCTATTATTTTTTCTCTACAGATCTTACACGTCTCCTTCTGTAGAATGCTTTTATTTGACATCGACCCCCGACAACCGAGTACAGATGAGTGATTTTAATTTGAGTGAAAACTTTAACGAATTGGGAAACCATCAGGACAGACTCTTACAAGACACCAAGAAGGCTGAACCAATTTCACCGTATTGCGTCCCTAGTGCGTACAGGAAACCCCTGACCGCTGCAGATTCAGACCACGGTTATTCAACAATGACCCCTCACGATGAATCTGAACATCTCTCGTTTGTACCTGTAGAAATCGACTCTTTGGAAGACGATTGTACCTCAGATGCCACGTCCATTAACACTTCCGTTTCATACAAACAACCCCACGGGAGTAAATTAGAACCGCGAATCAAAATACGAACCGTTCCAGAAGTCACCGATTTGCCTGGAAAATCTGCGAGTGGGAAGCCCGATGTAACTACTGATCTGCAAGGGAAAACTGGACCCAATAAAAATTGTGTCGTCACCCAGGTAACTGTACACAGGAATATGGAAGCTTTGCAACAGTAAATATACTTTTCATCGGCATATTTCATATATGAATCGTAATCGGTACAAAAAAAAAAGAGATAAACATTTATAAACATTCTGAAGAAAAGTATTATTAAAATTAGCAGTTATATTTTCGAAAATTGAAATAAAATTGAATACGCTTCATATATGTACAACGACAAAAGAAGACTTAAGTAGATTTAAGATCTATTTTATTTTATTTATGTTCTCGTGAATTGTATTTAAAGTGCTTTTTTCATGCAACAGATAAACGACCATTTCGTAATTATTTAACTACATTAAAATTACTTAGTTCCACAAACAACTGCAAAACAATCAAGAGTAGTACCAATTGCGCCTTAAAAATAGACAAAACAAAACAAAAAAACAGAAAAATTATAAGGTAGGTACTCTGCATAGTATATACATACATATATGTATTAATTGTTTTTTAACTTTTTCGGCAGCATTTTATTTATATTACGTAATAAGATTACGAATTTTTTATCGACCTAGCCTATAAAAATTACGAATCGATCGACTTTTTTAATGAAAGTTCTAGTCACAAGTATTAAGTATCGTCATTAAAAAAAAAGCACTCATTTTTTGCACTATATATGTATCTTTACCGCAAATAATGTAAGAACCGAATAAAACTGCCATTGTAACTCATGGATCGGCCAAATTTTGATACATTAGTAACAAGCTCAAATTTTATAAGCATATGGAATTTTTGAACGAATTTATTATCTAGATATGTAACGCGACATTTTGCACAACATTAGGCAAATGTTATTTTTTATAATGGTGTTAGCTTTTTCAAAAACCATTATCGAGCGTCATTTGTACGTCAATTGTGGTACATATTAATGAATAAATGCATACATATATATATACAGCTAACCACTCCCTGATATTTGTATTTTAGCCATAAGAGCTGGTAAAGCATGTTACTTTAATTTGTTTTTATACTGCAATGAGACTGATATGCATATACATATATTATATACAACCACATACAACTAATTAATTTGATGGTGTTATAATTGTGTATATATATATATGTATATCTTCACTGTAATTAACAATTATTAATTATTCGAATCAGTGGCGGCTCGTGATGGAATGAAGCGAGTGTTTTGCAGATATTCTGCTCGGAAATTTTTTGAAGGGAACCATCAACTTTTGAAATTAGCTGGGCTTAATGCAGCTCACTGACTCGTTTAAATTCGCGGCTTAATGCTAGCAAATGGTTGAAGAGGGGAGAAATCCGGTTGCCTCGTGAGACCTGTTTCAATAATAGAAAAATACCGCGATGCGTTCCACCAGAGATGCAAATTCATGTCTACTCGCGTCGGATGTGATATATATACTCAAAATTATTATATTAATAAATTTTAGTAATTAAGTCGCAAAAACATCGAATTTTCTAGCAGTGCTGCAGCACTTCTGCACTAGCCATCCCTGATTCGAACATAATGTGAACTTAAAGCTCATTATGTGAATGTTCGCGCGGTCTTTAAACAGTAAAATGTAAGTTATTATTAGGTTTTATAAACCAAAGATGTTTTTACAATAAATAATAATTAAAAACGTAGGCTACATGACAAACTGTCCAATACGAGTACGTGACGAGTACATTGTTTAATAACAGAGGTGCTCATTCCGCGAAAACCAGCTTTTTAACTGCATTTAATAACTAAATTAAATTTTAAGTTGTCGCACTTAAACATGTATTCATACTATGTATTTATATTTACGCGTTTAGAGTATTCTTCTAGATACACCATTTATTTAACCAATGTTTCTGTAAATACATATCAATATGTCACTGTCATTTAGGTTTATATACATAATATGTAATTGTTTCCGTCAAAAGAAAAAAACAAACAAAACAAACCAATGCTTGGCTAAACGTCCAATTACAGAAAGTGATATAAGTTTCGACAATTATGATATAATTATGTATCTATTAATTACAATACTTGTTCGCAATTGGTTAATTAAGAGAAATTTTCTATTTAAAATAACCGAACAGGTATTTCGAAAAGTTTAATTTTCATTTAATTAGATACTACGTAGTAATGTTAATTTTTTTATTTTTAATATTCAAACGTTCTCCAAAGAAAAGTGAAATTAGCACATTAAAGGCTTGTTAAAAAAAATTTAATTCATGTTAGTTTCACGAAAACCTTTTGAAAATAAAATTAACTCGTACTTAACGTTAATCTCAACTACTAAAAATATTATCAACTGTTTCAATTTTCTTTGGAGAATATTTTTATACACAGTATTTAACTTTGTTTGATAGTCTAGAAGTGCCAATAATTTATTTATTTAAAGTTACAAATATACAAATAGAAATATATTCAATATAAAAAAAAAACTTGTTTTTCTGCTTAACTAATTAAATATCCGATAAAAGTTCATTTTAATTGTGGAAAATACGCTTAACTAGGGGCAAATAAAGGCTTGTGATAAAACGACGTGGATGTTCTGCTATTATTCATCATCATCATAGGGTCGTCAGTCCTAAGACTGGTTAGACACGTACCTCCACTCTTTCCTATCGTGAGCTAAACTTCGCATTTCCTTAAAAGTAGAAAAAAAAAACTTGGGTGTTTCATTCCCACCAGCTAGTAATGCTGGTGGCCGAGCAGTCCCTCCGGACTACGCCGGAAGGTAGGGCGGAAGGCCCTCTTCAGCCTGCTTTCAGGAATCGTGGGAATGGGTGGGTAGTGGTTCGGGTGAGAAAGTTGAGACGGACGAAATGAAGACAGAAGAGAATGAATGATTATCTGTGGAATATTACTGCCCCAGCATCTTCCACCAAGGAAACCACAGAAAAACTTGGGCCAAGGCAGACGGACCCGGAATCGAACCGGCGTCCTCCCGAATACTAAGCAATGGTCTAAACCTTTAGGCCATGCCGCTCGTCTAAAAGTACAACTATCTACATCCTTAACTATTAACTATTTTCGAACAGTAATCTAATCTAGCCTTTACCTCACCTAACTCCTATTTCTGCCTCTAATATGTCTCTGACTAGACCTTTATGCCTGAGAAGGTGTCCCACCAACCTATCTCGCCTATTTTGTATTGACTTCCATAAAGTCCTCTGTTCTCCTATTCTTTCTAATTGCAATTGTTCGTAATTATTATAATCCGTAAATTAGTGCACAAAAATACAAAACCGTATTGCTTTGAAATTAACAAGATTTTCGCTCGCCATCGTATAAAATAAGTAAAAACACCAATTAGCTGCACTAAATACAGCTCACTGACATGTCAAAATTTGCGACTTTATGCTAGTAAATACTCGCAGAGGAGAGTGGTGCGAGCTCACGCAGAACTGTTTCGTGCGGCCCAGGTTAATAATATAATACATATCGCGACACGCTCGACCAAACGTCGAGAAAATACATTTGGTCTACTACTATGTACAAGATGATCTGCAAAAAGCATCAGGTGTAATGTAAGTCATTATTAATTATATTAATAAATATTAGTAATTAGGTCGCAAAAATACATTAAATATCTAATTTTTTTGCAACACCTATACACCAGCCGTCCCTGATTAAGGGCGCTTCACAATTCTGCTATTTTAATATATGGTATACTTTTTTAAACTTATTATTCAAACAGTTTACCCTAAAGCAGCTTTTTTTGTTTAAAAAACGAGCACATATTTAGCTTCGGAAAATATCACTTTGCTTTACAACAAAAATGAATGATTTAGTGATTCTACAGAGACTTCCAGATTGTAAAAAAGTTATATTTTCCATGAAGCCCAGACTTTTTGAAATTTTTATGTAATGTAATCCTGGTGGCCTAATAAAAGGAGCATGTACTAAGTATTTTCAAATATTAAAACGAACAAAAGACTTATTGCAGAACTGTTTCGCTAATCATAAAAAAAAAACAATGACAAATGTTTTGAAAGACAGCTGAGACCCTTATTTTGAAATAGTTTTGGAAAGAAGATCCACTTGCTCCGTACATTAGAATGTCGATCGAAAATATTGTTTTCTGCAACTTGTTGGGCAAATTTCCTGCGTTTTCTGCATGCAAGTGAAATTCTCCTGCCGCTATTTCGAACTGATAAAATGTTAGCGTAGTCGGTTGAAAGATGGCGACTGGCTCGGCTTTTTTTTTATAATGCAAACAGAATAAAATTGGGATTACATGCGATACCGGTATAACTCGCCGTCTTTCGTATTATTTAGCACTCACTGAACGCTGACAGTCGTACTTCGCAGTTGGTATGCATTATTGTAAACAAAATTTGACTTAAAACGGCGTGTTCGCGAAACTGTGTTTTAATTAAGTGACAGGTGCCAAATTCGAATTTGACAACTTAAATCATGTCCGAAAGATTTAAGGTAATTAAGTCAGAACAAACTCCTAATTCATATACTAAGTACGATGTTGATCCAGAAGAAAATATCGGAGTTACTGACCAAGCAACTGAAAAATTACTGGTCAATTCTCAGGACTATTCGATTAGAAATCACGAAGGATCAGGTGTGTAAAAGAAAGAGTTTCAATTCACCAATTAATCGCATATACACGCATATATTATAATAATACGTACACCGATGCTCTCCAATCGGTAAATTTCTAGCTATAATAACTATAATAAACGCTCAAAGTACAAAGCACGCACAAGAATTATTTACGATCAACTTGAACTAAATTAAAATTTAGCGCGCCTTATACTATACTTTACTACAGGGTACGCACCATCTATAAAGTACTTTTGAAATCTTTGAATGCACTTGTGTAATAAATAAAACAAATAAAAAAGATGACATGATTGATCTCATAATATGTAAGTTAATTAATCAAAGAAGTACTTTTATATGTAATCTTATTTTCTCTCTTATTACCGATGATAACATTTACGCACTGTTTACTAGAAAAAATTAAATTATTTAGATTTAAGTTTCTTAATTATGAACAATAATTGGTTATTATCGTTTACCAACCAGGCAAATATTAAAAGATTTCGAAAACGATGTCTTTAAAGGGACGCTTATTTAAAGTTTTTTTAAGGGCGCCAGAAATAGTAAGATAATAAAATCACTAGTCTTTCATTGATCGTAACATAAATAACGCAAAGGAAGCTAGATCTGTATATAAATATTGTATAAACAATTATTACCCCTTCCGAAGAACGTAAGGTGTTGAAAATCCAATTGAACTTTTTTAAACGCTAAATAGATATCGTGAGCGTAAAAATTTCATATTGAATAGAAAAATTATTGCATCTCTTTATTGGTTACCGATACACGTATACAATCTATTTATTCATTAATCAGTTTATTGCAGTTATATACCTTAGATATATAAATTTATTACCCGTATCACATGTTCGTTTCATTAATATTTTAAGCTCCTTTTTTTTGGGCCGCCACGAATATAAAAATTGATTTGCCTTTACGGTATTGCCATAAAAAAATGAAATATGCACAAAAGGTCGCTTTTCCAGTTAAACATAATTAGGCAATAAAACTAGGTAGATTATAAAGAAAGAATAATCACATTTTATCATTGTTTATTTCTCAGCGCTTTTAGCATTCATTTGTACCATCGATAATTATTAAAATACTAGTTGGCTCCGTCCAACCACCACAGCTGAAGGTGTGCACAGCACTTACATTTCCATCATAATCTAATCATAGCCACATTATATGTGTATGCCAATCGGGAAATCCATTCCCATCACACACACCCAGCATAAACCCTTGATGCATAGCACTTTGCTTACACAGTTCAGGAAATCCTCTTTCACCATCATCATCATAAGGTCATGTCACGTACCTCCACTTTTTCTTATCCTAAGCTAATCGTCGCATTTCCCTAAAACTAGAACGTCCTAAATCCTTAACTATTTGCGAACAGTAATCCAATCTGGGTTTACTACTACTCCTTTACACTCCTGTTTATGTCTCTAATATGTCTATGACTAATCCTTCATGGCTGAGAAGATGTCCTGTCCTACCAACCTACCTCGCCTATTTTTTATTGACTTCCATAGAGTCCTCTGTTCTCCTATTCTTTCTAATACCTCTTCATTTCTTCTTTATCCACGGTATCCTACTCATTTGCCTGTAACACCAAATTTCGAACGTTTCTAACCTTTTCTTTTTCCTATCCTGAGCTAATCTTCGTATTTCCCTAAAGCTATTTCACTATAACATTACCTAAACCCATGGTACGTAACACTTCACACATGTTCATCAGACAAACTTTTCCCACTACAGCCTAGCCTATTGCATACCATTTAAGCCCATGGTGCATAAGTGACGCTTTACATATGTTAATAAGGAAAACCTTTTGCGTCACAACCTAACTTGGTGGATAGTATTTCACCCAACCCAGTCACGGAGTCCTGTCTTATCAAAACATAAGTCCACTTAAGAGCACTTCACATAAGTCAATAAGGGGATTCTCCCTCACTATAATCTAAGTCAAACCTAATTTAATTTGATAATTTCGTCGACGGGCGTTTACCCACATTTATTTATGAGTCTAGAATAATCAAATATTGAGATTTAAACACACTCAACACGTCAAAAAGTTGGTGATTTGTAATTAAAACTTCCAGTTAAACGACATCTTGGATATCAAATGTAGGCCTAAGGCACAGTTCCATCCTTTAATTACTCTTAAACTGTCTGCTAATTCCACGTAACCTAACCTAACCTACGATACGTCACTTCTGAAAGTCAGATATTCAGAGGAGATAGCTCCACAATAAATTATGTTACAAATATATACCAACGCAGAAACATACATAGGTAGAACATTATTATACATATAGCGATATTTAAATTTGCTATGAAATATTGCTCTTAAATGTATCTTTCTAATTAACACACTTCCAACGAAATTTTCAATAAAACCACAAATAATTTTATTAAAATGTAAATAACACTTTTTTAATTATGAATATACATTAGACAGTATTTGATCATCACGTTAGCACAATATACATACGCATATGTGTATATAATACGTACGTATGCAATTTCTTTTATATACCATTTATAAAGAACTATGTATATTATTCTCAATGAATCAACAATTGAAAACGAAATTATATGAACGACTTAGCATGTACGAATTGTGTTATTGTACTATAATAAACCATTCTAACGTATGTACATGTCTATTGTATTTTTTGTTTTTACTCCGTGTCTGTCTGGAATTGTTATTAAACGTTTCTTTAGATCAAAGGTAATTAATTAATCTTTGGTACGCTGTTGAATTGTAACTTTTGAAACAATTATGGTAACAGA